CAGGTGGGGTGTTGAGGGCCCCTCCCCCCAGGTGGGGTGTTGAGGGCCCCTCCCCCCAGGTGGTGTGTTGAGGGCCCCTCCCCCCAGGTGGGGTGTTGAGGGCCCCTCCCCCCCAGGTGGGGTGTTGAGGGCCCCTCCCCCCAGGTGGGGTGTTGAGGGCCCCTCCCCCCATGTGAGGTGTTGAGGGCCCCTCCCCCCAGGTGGGGTGTTGAGGGTCCCCTCCCCCTCAGGTGGGGTGTTGAGGATCCCTCCCCCAGGTGAGGTGAGGTAGCTCCCCCAGCCCCAGCTGAGGTGGTTCAGAGCCGCGGGGCTGGGTGGTGCAATGGCCACAGGTGCAAGGGCAGGTGTGCCAGGAAAGCCTGGGACACGCGGCACAGTGGCCAAGGGCAGAAGACCCGCGGTGCCCAGGCTGAGTGGGGGCACGGGCAACGTCCCCCACAGTGGGGAGTGGGGCTCAGCGGCAGGCAGGAGGAAAAGTCTGACACCTGCTCCAGCAGCAGTGGGCCTAGAGGCTGAGAAATGAGCCAGAAGAAGTCCTGTGGGATTCTACTTCGGTCTCCAGAAACACCAAATCTACTGAGGCAGGAAGTCAGGGGTCCGTACTGGGGGCAGAGGGTGGCGGGGTGGGGAGAGGGGAGGGCAGCATTTAACAGGGACAGTGTCAGGTTGGGAAGGAAGATGGTGCACAACACTGGATGTGTCTGATGCACTGAATGTACATTTGAAGACAGTTAAAAGGTACACATGCTGTTCTCGGCATTCTATTATGGATGAAATAAGTAGTTAAAGAAAAGGAGGAAGGGAAGCAAGATGGGGGGGGGCGGGAATATGGACTTCAAAGACAGAGAACCAAGCTGTCAGCAAACAACCCCAGGGCAGAAGGAACTTCCCCTAATGAGCAGGATGTTCAATAAAAACAGTGCTCAGAACCTAGATAAGTGTGTTCATCTCAGACCAGGTACACTGGGAGACCGGCTAACCCTCCTGGGAGCCCAGAAATCATCCCCTTTATGACTAAGTGAATCCAATCAGAAGACACCCTGAAAATCAAATTGCTGACCTAGACACAACTCTGACCACAACATGGAGGCAGACTCTAATCCCAGCATGGAGAAAGGGTGGATGCGCTTCCTGATGGGCCCTCTGGGCCCCTGGGTAATGGCCTCAAGGCCTCTAAGTATTTTAAATACTCAGATACTTCAATACTTTAAATACTTAAATGCTTCAGAAAGCATTTAGGAATATACTGCCAAAGCAAAGGAAGAACTGTGAGCTGGGTTTTGGGAAAATAAGTGGCAGGATCGACTCTGCTCAGATACTGGCCCTTCCTAGTCCAGTGAACTTGAGCCAAAGAAAGAGCTCTCTGGGGACAGCAGGTGAAGGCGATCACTGTCAGGAGCAGAGCTGGCTGGCTCTGGATGGGCTTGAGCAAGCACCAGTGGATGACTGTTCCAGGCAGATCCAACACTGAGAAACAGAAAGTGTGATGGGACTATTATACCCAGCCCAGGTATCGGCCAAGCACATAGACACGGGGAGACGTCCCAAGTGCACAGATGCCCTTCTTGGGGGAAACGCCTCAATGGTGAATGTAGCCCACTCAAAGAGATGCCACAGGAGGGAGCTCGGGGATGGACAAGGCTCGGGATAGAGAAGGCTCGGTGAATGTGTGTGTGGTCAGCGGGAAGCCAGAGTACTCGGCTTTGCAGCAAGTGTTAGATAATTATGCAAAGTCTGGTTATGGAACAGATTGCAACCATTTTAAACCTTGGTGAAGTAAAAAGAACAATATAATTAGCAAACATAGGGGGTGTGCAAGGTACTGAGATCCAAAATAAAGACTCTGAGCCAGGATTGTGAACCTCACTCCATCCCCAGCGGAGTAGCCGGCGGAGAAGACCCAGGGCACAGGCAATCCAGTTTCCCAGAGATCAAGGAAGCAGCAAAGAGAAATGGAGTCACGTCGAAGGGCCCAGGGGTCAGCTGGAAGGGCCCCTATTGGCCAAGGTGAGGACGACAGCATGGGAGAGGACAGCGCTCAAACATGGTTCCTGTGCTCCTCGGGCTGTGACCAATTACCACCAGTTCAGTGACGGAGACAAAGCACAGGCATAGCACCATCCTGAGGTCAAAAGTCCTGAACCTGGGGCTGGGAAGGTGGCTCAGTGGTAGAGCGCTTGCCTTGAATGCTCGAGGCCCTGGGTTCGATTCCTCAGCACCACATAAGCAAAAAGAAAAAAGCCGGAAGTGGCGCTGTGGCTCAAGTGATAGAGCGCTAGCCTTGAGCTGAAGAGCTGAGGGACAGCGCCCAGGCCCAGAGTTCAGGCCCAACGACCGGACCCAAAAAAAAAAAAGAAAAAGTCCTGAACCTCAGGTGGGCTTCTGGCTTCTTCCCGGGGCTCCAGGGAGCACAGGGCCTGTCCTGGTCGGCTGCCGGCACCTACTCCTTCCTTAGCTTGGTGCTTCTGCTTCCTGTATCACATCTCCACTCTAGCTCTTCTGTCTCCCTGCCTCCCTGTTGGAGGGCCCTGTAACACCCAAAGAATCTAAGGTCAAAACTCATTCCACTTGGGCTGGGAAGGTAGCTCAGTGGCAGAGTGCCTGCCTAGCATGCATGAAGCCCTGGGTTCCATTCCTCAGTATCCCATACACAGAAAAAGCGAGAAGAGGCGCTGTGTCTGAAGTGGTAGAGTGCTAGCCCTGAGCAATAGAAGCTCAAGGACAGTGCCCAGGCCCTGAGTTCAAGCCCCAGGACCGGCAAACAACAACAATGACAACAAACCCCACACTTCATCCCACCTGACAAGGGTGTTCTGCCATTTGGTCACAGATTCGCTCTACTGCCTGTGGCATCCTGGGCCCTCTGCCAGACACAGACGCTGGTGACTGCGTGCTGGGCCTGCAGAGACTCTTACCATCCAGGACCCCTCACTGAGTCCACGGGTCCACACAGTCCCACACCCCAGCGACTGGGACATGGATAGTGCCTGAGAGCGACTGCTCAGTGACTCGGGAAGGATCCAGGCAGGCCCCACAGCTCCCCGGGGGTGTCCACGCAGGGGCCTTGGGAGTCGGGAGGGACGCTGCGAAGGTGGAGCTGTCGTTGGTGCGGGTATGGGGGTTGGGGTGCTGCACACCGCTCTCTGAGTGCATCACAGCAGCCACTGCCAGGGTCCCCTGGTCTCCAGAAGGGGACACAGGTTCTGCCTGGCCAGTCACTCTGGAAGAGGCCCTGGCAGAATAAGGGGAGAGGAGAGTCAATTAGTGAGGCCCCTGGGTGAGAGGCAGGGCTGGGCTTCCTCCTGGTGTCCAGTCTCCCCTTGGGAATGCCAGGAAGCTTCTCCTTGCTGTGCAGTGAGCTGGCACATATGGGCTGGAGGAGGAGCCCACTGGGGCTCAGACTGGAGGAGGGGAAGAGGTAGAGCCAGGACTTGCCTAGGGCCCAGGCTGTGCCCCATGCCTTTACCCTGTAGCCTTCCCCGGCAGCTCTTTCCTGAGGGCCTCCCTGGACGTGGTGCTCCTCCCTGGGGTGGGGGCCCAGTGAAAAGCTTGGGTCTGTTCTGGACTGGCTGGCGCATGGCTTCCCAGCTGAGCACAGAACTGTAAAGCGTCCCAGGCTTGTCCTCAGCCTGCCTCTAGTGCATCCCCCCCCCAGCCTGGACACCTTCCCGGCTCTTCCTGTCCCCCCCTCCGTCGCAAGTCAGCTCCCACTCTCTGGTAGGCCCTGGGGGCTCAAGGAGCAGGGCTCCCCTTGGCTGCAGAATGGCCTCCTTCCAGAGCCCTCCTGGAGGTGATGGTGGAAGATGCAGCCCCTCGGCCTGCCTGAGGGGGGCGCTCCCCCACTGCTCCCGCTGGTGGCCGGCGGTGGGAGGCTGTTCTTACTGACCCTGTCCAGCAGGACTGTGGCTTCTCCTCCCCACTTGGCCGCCATGGACATGGGGCCTTTCTTCCAGCATTTCCGCTTGCCATTCAGGAGGGCAGCGCAGCCCCAGGACGGGGTCCAGCAGCTGCCGCTGGCTCCTGAGCCAGCTCCCAACTAGGGTGGCGGCGGCCTGAGCGCCCGGCCCTGGAAACCTGTGTTGGAAACTACGTTTGCGGCTCCCCGGCCGGCCTTCCTCTGAGACTCTGGGAACACCATGACCAACTGGTGCCTTGGAACAACAGGGCTCTGATTTCCTCCACTTCTGGAATCCAGAGGTCCACAATGGGGCCAGCAAGACCGCTGCTGTCCAGCCTGCAGGCCCCAGCCCCGTGGTCTGGGCGAGGCCCGCCGCAGAGCCTGGTACCTTGCTGGCGATGGCCTCGGTCCCCGAGTGCTGGGGCTTCTATGACTGCTGTGGTGCGCAGCAGGCGGAGGTGCAGAACTGGATGGAATGGGTGAAGGTCGAGGAAGTTGGACCAAAGTGTGCGTAGTCCCTGGGAGGCGCCCGCGGCTCCCAGCTGTCAGCTGGGTGGGCTGCGGGCTCACATGTGTCCTCCCCACATCCACACACGGAACCCTGACTCCCAGCGGGCATGTGTGGGAAGTGATTAGGGTCAGGTGGGGCCTCAGGATGGGAAGAATCCGGAGCGCAGTCTCTCCTTGTGGGTGCGGCCGCAGGCGCCAGGACCCTGGCTGCCAGCTCTTGCTCTGGACCTCAGCCCCAGCTGGTGAGAGCCGTGGGGGCCGTCCTTTGAGGCGGTCTACGGTGGAGCCTGCACAGGCTGATCGTGAGCATGACGCCTTCGTGTTCCAATGGAGGAGCCCAGGGTGCTGCACGCATACGCTGCGGGCACCTGGGCAAGGTACTGCCCCATACCCAGCCTCGTGGCTCAGCAGCGGCTGCCCCTCACTGTCTCACTGGACGCCGGGGCTCCATTCTATGGTAATCCGGAAGGAATCCACTTTGGAGTCCTGCGTGAGAGTCCCTGGGATGTGGGTTTGGGGGACAAAGCACTGTGCCCCGCCGTGTGAACTCAGGGGACAGGATGAGGGACACCGCTCCTCAGGACGCTGGGTTTGGTTTCCAAGTGTCCTTAGTGTGGGTGTTGGAGAGTCAGAGCCACTTCTCATGGCAGAAGCATGCATCGCTGATGGCTCACACGCAGAGCCGGGTGGAGGCAGCTGCCCCGCTGAGTCCCCAGGCACCGTGTAGTGCTCACAGCCCCAGCAGACAACGACCCGCCCTCCCCCGCTGACGCCCACCCCTACCCACACTGCTCATCCATTTGCCCTTTACCCTCCAGTGTGGGTCCTGCCGACGCGGACCTCCTGGGGCGGAGGGATGGCCAAGCCCACACGCAGGCCCGAGACAGCAGAAGCGGGGCGTGCCCTGGGGCTACACATCCACCAGGAGCCTCACACGGCCTCTCCGTCCCCCACCCTGACTCAGGGACTTCTCAGGCCCGGCTCCCAGGCGCCCCAGGATGCTGGAGGACAGCCCAGCCTTGAATCAGCTCTGGACTGGACAGTGACCCATATCACACTCTCCGGACACCTGTGGGCACGCAGGCCAGGACAGAATCTTCAGACACAGCCCTGGCCTCCCCCTCAAATCCCCGCTTCCCCATGCAGGGGGCACAAAGACGGTGTCAGAGAGGGACAGCAGGCTGAGCTCCCTGGTCCTTGCAGCTGGGCCTGCCCCAACCAGAGCACCTCCCAGCCTGGACCAAATCCACTTCCTCGGCCATCTGCAGCCTATGAAGCAAGAGGATGTGGTGCTAGGCAGGTTTCGGCCCCTGTGGATGAGGAGAAAGGCAGGGGCAGCACTGTGGCTCGCCCTGCCCCAGTCTCCCTGGGGTGACCGCACAGAACTGCCAGTCCAGCCCCGCCTGTCAGGCTAGCACGGAGTCCAGGACAGGCCCCAGGCAAAGCTTTAAATATAACCTCCTGGGAAGGCTGCGCCGCCTGACACTTCTGGGAGCTGAGTGGCTCTGGCATGACAAAGGCCAGGGGCAGGGACAAGCAGCCCACTCCAGCGCCAGCCCAGCCTGCTCAGCTTCTGCTCCACCCTGGAGCCTGGTGGGCACGGGTGGCACACATCGTCACCCACCGCGCTGCCTTCTGCCGGGACAGCTTCAGCTCACACCCCATGGGTCCACGCAAAGCCTGCCCGTGTGAGGCTCCAGCCAGCCAGCCAGGGCCTCCAGTGCAACAGGGCTTCTCCTGCCCTCCTCCCCAGTCCGGGAGGGCACGCTTCTCAGACCCCATCCTCCCACCCTTCCTCACCTGCCTCCGCCCGCACCCCAGCAGCCCCCTGCCTCCATCTTGTGCCCCCACTGCCCCCTAAAACCATCACTGCTCACGGGGGCCCTCCTGCCAGCTGTGAGCAACACCCCACACCCCACCCCCAGCCCTGGGCCCGGCCGGCTGCACAGATCTTCCCTGCTGCTAGTCTCTCATGTCAAAGCCCTGGCCATGCGGGATGGCCGTGTCTCCTACGGGGAGCCAGGGGCCACGTGGGGCCCCACCAGAGTCCAAGGCAGGGGGAGTGTGGCAGGTGTGGCCTTTCCCACGCCCACTGTGCCTGTGCGCCCCCCGCAGGAGCGTCCGTGGTACTCCCGGCTCTCCCCAGAGCGGAGGCCTTCATAGCACCTGCTGCTCGGGCAGCCTGTGGGCACCTGGGGCTGGTTCTGAGCCCAGACTGTGTCTAACAGACAGGGCCATCGGCGGAGGCGGGGCCCGGGCAAAGCTCCCCTAACGAAGGCCATAGGCTCCCCATTCTGGTGCAGGCTGGGGAGAGGCCAGGATGGTGAGCGTGGCGTGCGGGCAGGCGCGTGGGTGGGTGGGAAGGGCATTAATGAGCTCCTGGCCATCCAGGCACTTGGCAGTCATCCAGGGATGATTCTAAAGAAGTTTCTCTCCACACCCAACTATGGCCTGCTGAGTGGTGCTCCCAGCCCAGTGCTGCTACTGTTCAGTTATTAACACTTGTAAGTGAGTGGCTCTGAGAGTGGACTGACCCTCGAGACGCCCCACTGCTTCTACAGTGTGGAGCCTGGCGCTCCTTCCTTCTCCAGAGGGGCCGGGATTGGCCCTCCTGGGACGGCCTGACCTACTTCCGTTCCCCCAGCTGGACAGTGGGCAGGAGGCCAGCCATGCCAGGCGCCGGATCCTGGGGCCTCTTGGGGATGGCCTGCTCCTCCTCGTGCCCACAGCATCGTCCCCAAGGTGGGGCTGCTGGCCCTGGCCCTGGCCCTCCTGGCTCCGTCTCCCACATCTCACTGGCTGGGACGTGAGTGGGCTCCATTCCCTCTCAGAGGAGCTTGGGCCGCTGGGATGGAGACCTCGGGGCCCTGTTCACGTCCAAACACCGGCTCTGGTGCCTCCAGTCAGGGCTCCTGGGGCCTTCCCCACCTACGGAGACACCTCCCTCCAGCCCCCGGGGCTTGCGCAGCCTGGACAGCACATGTGGTTGCTGGGGTATACCTCTCACCTGCCTAGAGCCCAGCAATACAGCCCAATTCTTCCAACACTTTCCTGGCCTCTATGCAGAAGGGTTCCCCACTCTGCCCATGGCACCAGTGCCTGTGGCCTTCGCCTGGACAATAGGCCAGGAGGCGGCCATCTGCAAGGGCCATCTCCCCACCAGCAGCTCTTCTAAGCCTGGTTTGGCTTGGTCCTGCCCCTTGTGGAGGATGAACCTGTGGCAGACCCCTTCCTCCCCACCCCATCTCCTCCCCATCCCCCCCACCCCAACACACACAGGCCTCTACTTCTTTTTTTTTTTTTTTTTTGGTCAGTTGTGGGCCTGAACTCTGGGCCTGGGTGCTGTCCCTCAGCTCTTCAGCTCAAGGCTAGTGCTCTACCACTTGAGCCACAGCACCACTTCCAGTTTTCTAGTGGTTTATTGGAGCTAAGAGTCTCACAGACTTTCCTGTCCAGGCTGGCTTTGAACAGAGATCCTCAGATCTCAGCCTCCTGAGTAGCTGGGATGACAGGTGTGAGCCACCAGCGCTCAGCTCTCCCTCCTTCTTGAGCCTCAGCCCTGGGGGCGGGGCTGAGCCTTAGCTCCATACTGCAGACCAGGAACAGGCTTCTAAGAAGCAGCCATGACCCAGCTGCAGCCTTGGTCCAGCTCTGCTGCCTCATCAATATGGCCCTTTGGGCGGCTGCTGACCCCCAAGTCTGAAGCTCCCCGCACTGTGCTGCTGGAGGTTCTCAGGAGGCAAGGAGGGGCAGCTCCTGCGAGAGAGGCCAGGGCCCCTTGAAGCTGCTGCGAGAGAGGCCAGGGCCCCTTGAAGCTGCTGCGAGGGCTCTGGGGCACGGGGCAGTGGCATGTCTGAGAGGGGTAGGGGCCCTAAGTGGCTTGCCTGGCTGCTGCCTGGGGGAGACCCCAGGACAGGGCCTGACTCGTGAGGGTCTATCTGAGCCCCCGAAGGGGCAGGCTCTCGTGCTGGCTCCCATGGGCTCCGTGGTATGCTGGGTCCCCCAGGAGAGGCCGGCCTGGGGGAGACCCCAGGACAGGGCCTGACTCGTGAGGGTCTATCTGAGCCCCCTGAAGGGGCAGGCTCTCGTGCTGGCTCCCATGGGCTCCGTGGTATGCTGGGTCCCCCAGGAGAGGCCGGCCTGGCGGCCTGGCCCGGCTGTCCTCGTGGGAGGTGAGCTCCTCTCCCCCAAGGCCACTGAGGCCTGGTGACTCACTTCAAGTGGCTTCATTCTCCTGGAAAACAGGACGTACAGCCCTCCACCCGCCCACAGCCCGCCAGGAGCGGGGTGCAGCTCCCCCAACTGTCCCATGGAGCCTGCCCTGAAGCGGGGGGGGGGGGGAGGGGGGGGGGGGAGGGGAGGGGGGGGGGAGGGAGGGAGGGAGGGAAGGAAGGAAGGAAGGAAGAGAGGGGGGGGGGGAGGAGGGCAGCTCTGTGCTGAGTTTACACTGCCCTGCCCTGAACTGGGCGCTGGGGCCCTCCTCCAGGGGAGGAGACAGCAAGCAGGCTCACACCTCCCTCCGATGGCCCCTTGGCTGAGAGACTAGCAAGTCCTGGGGGGATCTGTGCTACTCTGTCCCAGAACACTGGCCCACCCCTGCCGCCCCCACCCCATGGAGGGCCTGGATGGCTCACAGGAGCCAACCTGCCACAGCTGCAGGTGGGGCCTGGCTCTTCTAGACCCTCTCAGGCCTGGAGCAGCATGGGCCTGGATCCCCAGCCCCTCTTGGCATCGTTGCCCGGACCACTGGCACACTTGGGAGAGGCCCTGGCAGGCCAGACAGAAGGGCCCCCACCTCATCCTTCACTCTGGGAATCAGCGATGCTGAGGGGGGGGGCGGAGGAGGAGGCTGAGGAGAGAACAGATGAGGCCCCTCGAGGGCAGTGGCAGAGGACCTCAGGCCAGGGTCAGGAGCAGAGGAGGGACTGTGAGCAGGGGTCCAGGCTCTGAGTCCCAGGTCATTACAGACAAAGCTTGGAACCTCAGGCTCCTGCAGGGTGGGGTCTTATTCCCTGGTTCCACTTGCCCTTGACTAGATGGGGGGGGAGGGCCCTGAAGGAGACATTCTAGAGTGTATGGTCTTGAAAGAGACACGGACAGACTCAGCTATCCTGCAGCTCATAGCCCAGCAACCACCAGAGAGAGAGAGGCTATTTGAGAAAACTAGAAAATTGGTTCCCAAAGTGTAGGGGCTTCCTTTCAGGGTGACACCTATGCTGTGGTATGAGACAGTGGAGAGGAAGGACCTGGCAGAGCTGTGGTGATATACAGTGTCACCAGTGGTGCTTTTACTCAAAGTAAACCACACACAGCTCTAGGACTCCGATGAATTCAGTGGCAGCTCTAGGACTCTGCAGTGCATTTGATGGCAGCTCTAGGACTCTGATTAATTCGATGGTAGCTCCAGGACTCTGTGATGAATTTAATCAATGGTAGCTTCCTACCCACCTCCTGGGCCTGGCGCACTTTTCAGCACTGAGCTGCAGGGCCCCCTATGGCTGGCAGAGAGCCCCTGCCATCTACTTCTGGAAATGAAGGCTTGGGGCATTACAATCTCATCACTACGGTGGCCGGCGTTTGCCTGTTACCCAAAGACCCCAGCACCACTGTTTTCTACCTTCACTGGAATAATCTAAAGTTGCTGCTTTCTAGAACTAACCAAGTCCTGGCTGAGCTGGCCCACGGGGAGCTGGTTCTGGGGTTTCTGGTGCCCAGTGCTTGCTCCTGTGGGTCGGGGAGGGGGAGAGAGTCCCCACCCAGCCACAGACCCCGGGGCCACCTCTCTGCGAGTATCTCTTCCACAGGTGGCTTTATTTATTGTGACAGCACTTAGTTCAACAGACAGAGATCTCCAAGTTTGAGAGTCTCTGCAGGACTCTGGCTCCTGGGCTCTCATTGGATGGAGGTTGGGAATCCGCCCCCTGGGCCCCGCTGCTCAGCACGCGGGCTGGGCACACGCAGGCCTGCACACGGCCCCACTCGCACGCACGGTTTCCGGCCAGCAGCCGCTCCCGGAGCCGCCGGTGGTGTAGGCGTCCACTTGAATAGGGCACCTCGGCAGGAACGTGCAGCCCAGGCCCAGGCGTGTGCGCGTGCCTGTGCGGTGTGCGCGCGCACGCGTGCGCGTGTCCCGAGAGAGTGGCAGACACTTGAAGGACACGCGGGTCCAGCGCCCCAGCTCTGGCGCGAGCCCCGGCGCGGGCAGGGCCGCCGCCCCCTCCCTGCCCCGGCGCGGTGCTTACCCAGGACAGCTA